CTGGGACGGTCTGAGGGGCTTTCAGCATCCTCTAATCAGGACAAAAGGTTGCCATAGGATGACAAAGAGGAAAAGCAAGCTTCAGGAAAACACAAACCCAAACCCAACTAAGAGGACAGAGCATGGCGGTGGCCTTGTCAACACCCGCAAACACATCACCAACTCAGGGCCCGACTGGGAAGGGGGATGCCCTTTTGGATAGACACTCATCTGTCCATCACATCCTTACCCACTATTCCTTTCTGGACTAGGCGGCAGCAGGTTCTGGCAGTTTAACTTCCTCTCCGCAGCGCTCCCCCCACCACCACCACCACAAAAACAACCTGTTATGTAAGGTACCCCTGTGCCAAGGTCACGTCATGCCCCCCCTTTCCTCACTTGTGTCCAAGCCCCTGGTGAAATTACATTATTGTCCTTCTGCAAACACTGAGAAGCAATTTCTTCCTGGTTCCTCCCCCTCTCTCCTTGTTTCAGTTGAGGACAAATACTGAGCAAGGATGCAGGTTGGGCTTTGGGACCAGGGACAGGCTGTGCTGGTCTCCAGGGTGGTGAGAGGTATGCTGGGCGCCATGGTGGGTCGGCTGCCATTGGCTGTGTCCTGTTTCTCTCCCAAGGGTGTGAGCTGCTTTGGGCCAGCCACCTTTATAGCAATTCCCAGCAGCACTGCCCGTGGGGCCTCTTTCTGGTTGCCAATCACTGTATTTCCTGGTGTATAAAACCCAAATGAAGGCAATTTGTCTCCCTTCCCCCAGGGGGCATTTGGCAACGTCTGGAGACATTTTTGGCTGTCACAATTCAGTGTGTTTGTGTGTTACCGGCATCTTAGTGGGTGAAGGCCAGAAATGCTGCTAAATATCCGACACACGCAGAACGGACCCACAACAGAGAATTATCTGGCCCCAAATGTCATTTATGCCAACGCTGAGACACCCCGGTATATAATATGGAGCTCTTATGAGGAAGATTTTTTTTTAAGAAAACATTCACAAGCACTTTTCATAATACAGCTATTTAAAACTACTTCCAAGTGGTTTTGCACTGAAAATAGATCCTTTTTTCTCATGTAAGAGTAGGTAATTCTACGCTGACATCCAGTTGCAAACTGTACACCTGTCTCCATGTTACAATATTCTAGAAACTGAAAGCAAGAGGGCAAAAATCACATTTATAAATTAATAAATTGAGCTCAATGAAAATAGGCACATAGCAAATTTCTGGTGGTAATAGATTAAACTGTAAAGTAATGAGGAATAACTCACGTTAGCTTTTATCATCTGTGTTGGATGTGCAAGAATGTAGCCTTGGCTGCAGTGCTTTAAAACTCTGTTGTGTGGCCACACACGACCACTAGGGGCGGTAGCAGCATCACTTGCTCTTTCACTTTCTGGCCACTTGGCCTTCCCGTGTCCATAACACAAATAAATGCATGGACAGGAGGATAATTTTTGGATACGTATTTTTCAGAGGGAGGAGTAAAATTTCATATACCTGTCCAGATATAAACTACTTCTTGTTCCATGTTTACCTCCAAATGTAAAATGAAAACCCATATGACTTACGTAACATAGATAGGTCTGATCCCTTAAAATGATGGTTTGCAAACTTTTGTGATCATCAGAATAAGCTGGCAGGCTTATAAAGCTCAGGTCTGGGTCATGCCCATAGAGATTTAACAGGTCTAGAATCTGCATTCTCACAAGTATTCCATCTGTGCCCTAAATGGTTCAATCGCTTCACACACGTGTATACACACATGCACACGCGTTTCTATTTTACGGCCTGCATTGATAGAGTATGTTCATGGCCTCAAGTCTTTGCTCCCACCTTCACCTCTCTCCCTCATCCTGTTGAGTACGTGCTCGACAAACTGTGAGCAAATGGGAGAGAGAGAGACTACCGTCAGAGCTAAGCATTACCCCCATTTTGCAGATTAGGGCACAGGTTTAAGGCATCCAGAGGCCTGCTCAAGCCTCTCAGCTCCTAACTGCAGAGTCGGGTTGGAACTGGAGCCCATGTGCTTTCCATTGCAGGCCCCTGCCTCCCAGGGAGGGTTTGGGGGGGTCACAGAAGCCCAGCACTGTAGCCTTAGGTAGGAGCAAGCAAAGCAGTGATCAGAACAGAAAAAGAGCAATCAGAGCTCCTGTTCCACGGGCAATGAGTCCGAAGTCTCCCCTCCTTAAAGCCAGACGCGCTCTGTAATTGGCACGCGCGACACCGCAGAGGCGCTGCGCCTGCGGCCCGCGGTGCCGGGTTGCACAAGGCCTCCCTCATCCCTTGGAGTCACGGATCCCTGCAGTTCCACAAGCCAGAATGGGAATTAGGGTCAGGAGGGGGCGAGCGTGCGGGGCGTGTTGGGCTTTCCTGGAGGCCGGAAGCACCTGATCATATACCCAGGTGTGGCTAAACCAAAATACGTATTTCTTATCTCCTGTTGGGCTGGGATGCACTACAAGGCCAGCATGAGAGGAAACCAGTTCAGAAAGAGGAGATGGAAAATCTGACAAGGGAGGAACAAAGCACGTATCTGAATTCCCTGACACCAGAGAGAACATCAGAGTTCACACTTTTTAATATTACTTACATTCTCCCCAAAGGGACCCGTAGAAGAAAGATGAGATTGGCGGGGAGGTGTGTGTGTGGGGGTGTCATGGTATGTGGAATCATGGTCACCCCAAAGATGTCCACATTCTAATCCCCAGAAGCTGTGAATGTGTTACCTCACATGGCAAAGGGGCTTTGCATGTGTGGTTAATAATCTTGAGATGGGAAGGTCATCCTGGATTATTGGGGGCGGAGGGGGGTCCTAATCACAGGTCAGAGGGGAGAGAAGCTGTGCTGCCGGCTTTGAAGATGGAGAGGGGGGCCGTGTGCCTGGGAATGTGGTAGGCTCTAGAAGCTGGGAAAGGCATATGTACACTCCCAAATGGAGGAAATGGACTCCTCCCCGAGAGCCTCCAGAAGGAACCAGCCCAGCCCAGCCGTGACGGGGGTGAAACAGATTTGAGACTTCTGACCTTTTCTGTCTGAATCGGCCAGTCACTGTTGCTTGCAACTAAGAACGCTAATACTAAATTTGGGTGCTTCAAACAACGGATGCTCTAATGCGGAATTGGCAGAGCAGAGGGGATGGAGGACCCGTCATTCCAGGCTGGGAAGCAGAGGCCCTTGGTGTTGCTGTTGCAAAACATTTGGTTTACACCAAGGTTTGGCAAACTTTCTCTGTAGAAGGCTGGATAAGAAACAATTCAAGCTTAGTGGTCATACGGTCTCTTAGAACTGTGCAACTCTGCCTTGGAACGCAGCCAGGAACCATATGTAAATTAGTGGGCGGGGCTGTGCGCCAATAAAACTTTATTTACAAAATCAGGTGGTGGGCTGGATTTGGCCCACGGGCCATCGTTTAACCCTGGTTTAAATCATCCCCTACTTTATACCAACCATGTACCTATGGATGCTGTAATACGAGAAAATTGTAGAATCACATCAGGATGATGCCATGTTCAGCTTCTTAGAATCTTCAGTAAGTTCCTATAAGAAAAAGTCAATCTTGGGGCAAAGATGGCCCATCTAATGGCAAAAATGGAAGAAAACATGGCTTTCCTGAGATGCGTTCTGCCTGAAGCCTGCAATCTCAATTGATGGAGAATGCCAAGGATTCGGAGATTTGCAGGGGTGGGCAAGGCAAACCCTAAACCAGGGTTAGAATTTCATTCTTCAGGATCAAATATATGTTAGGTCACAAGTATTCAGTAAATGGATGAATGAATGAATGAAACAAGTGATAGGCTAATTTCCTGAATGGAAGAAACAGAAAACTGAGTCCTCTGGGGTAACCATCATCCCCTTGTCACATGGACAAAACAACAACAACAACAAACACCCCTAGAAACTCAAATAATGGACAGTGGCCCCTGAAGGTGTTAGCTTGCAACCCCTGCATGGAGACAAGGAAATGTAGGTTCTTTGGATAGCTTTTACAACTTTTGGCATTCCTTAGGTAAAAAGTAAACACCTCTTTCTGGCTGAATCTTTTTCATTTTTTAGTTGGGAGTGTGCTGTACAGATAAGTCTTATTTTCACCATCACCCAACCCTCAAAGCAGAAGTCCTTATTAAGGACACACTAAAGAACGGGACCGGCTACATAATTTGCAGGGACCATTGTAAAATAAAGATGTGGGCTATTTGCTGAAATATCAGTAAGAATCCTAAGACAGTGCTAGAAGATCAGTAACCACCAGGCGTGGGGCCTTGGAGCATGGGGTCCTGTGCAGCTGCTGGCTGTGTCCAGGAAGCTGGCCCATTAGAGAGGCAGAGGAACTGGGAGACTGCCCTGAGACCAACTGTCAGACGTCAGCTGCTCACCGTCCAAAACATATTATCCTCCTGATGAGCTGCGGGCAGAGCCCTCCACTCCACTGGCACCATTTTACCCTAGACGCTGTGAACATCACAGTCTGTGGCTCTGGGCGATTTGGTTTTAAGCTTTTATTTTTCATGTACAGTTTCAGATTATACAAAACATAGAAAATGGACTGTTTTAAAGGCACATTAAGTAGAAAGTATCTAACTACCCTAAAAGTCACATTTGTCCCCAAACCAAGATTCAAACTTAACCTCTCGGCTTTTCCCTAACATTTCTCCATCACCACCTGCTCCCCCAATATACAAAACTGTCTGTCGTGCTGTATTGTAAGTAACCTTTCAACTATTAGCGAGTTTAGTAATTCCCCACCCAGGCAGATTTTAAATGGCGCTACAGCTTCCATCTAAGCTACTGTGTTTAGTGTGTTTACAGACGGGCTTGGAGGTCCAGGCATCTTCATCGTTACTACAGAGCATCCTAGGACCTCGGCCCGTTGATTACAGGTGCGTACAGGCACACAGCCTGTAGCAGAGTACGAAGGGGTGGGGGTGTGGGGGTGGAGATCTCCAATTTTCAGGTATTCAGGTATAAATATACATCTTCACTCAGAGCAACAAATCAATTTTCCAAACTCGTTTGAACAGAGATCCCAAGTAATTTTAATGCAAATAACAAAACGAGTTAGTCTGTCTCCATCCAGAGCCCCTCAACGAAAGAATTACAGTACTTTATTAAAAATGTCCTAAAATGCGCAAACTACAGTTCCTTCCAACACAGTTGTTACATAACAGATTTGGTCCTAATAAATATTTGCTTCTTGGATGTCTCGGATACTTTCCTCTGTTGTAGTTCTCGAATAACTGACAGTAAGCACCGAGTGACGGCGGATTCTGCTTACAGGTAAGAAGTTTGAGTATTTTCTCTCTCACGCCATCACGTTTCCTACCTCCCCAGTGCGCGTCACCCCGCGGGGAAAGGCAGCTCTCGTGTGTCACAAAACCTTGGCATCGCAGAGGGATGTGGGCACTGAATGTTATACGGTAGTGGCAACCAGCCAGGAAAACCCGTGGGGTCCTTTCAGAGTCTCATACACCCCTGAAGTTTTGGGGGAAGGAAATTCATGCACGGCTTGGGGATCAGGCTTACCAGATTTCTGGTTCTGAGGGTTGTTTGCTTCCATTGTGGCCACCAGGAAACTATAGAGAAAGCCACCTGGGTAGAAAGCTTAGGGCACTTTAGACCCACCTTCCTCCAGAGGCTGGCATAGCATGCTGCAACCCGCAGGGCTGTGACCCACACTCCTACCTATCACATGTCTAGTGGCAGTTTTCCATCATGGCACAAGGTGGCAATCTATCCCGTCACTGGCCTGATGTCACCCTGCACTGTGCTGGTGGCCTCTCCGTGGGGAGGATATCCTGTCTCAGAGAGGGTGTCTGGGTTTGCTCACCCCTGTTTTCAGAGCCTTCCACAGTGCCTGGAACATAGTAAGCGTGGAGTACTCTGCTGAAAATGAACAAGCAATGAATCAATGAAAGAATGAGTAGATGGACAGATCACCCAGTCCTGAACTAAAGAGGAGTCCGTGATGGCCCAAAAACTACTCAAAACAGATGCCTCTCCAGCTCCATGGGGACTGGGCCGATGGCAAATCACGCCACTTAGCAGGTCAAGTGCAGAAGCATTTAAGTAGCACCCACGCTAAGACGTGAAAGGCAGGTCTCACACGGGCCCAGGCACACCTCCCCAGCAGTGTGCTCGAAACAGCAGAGGAAAAAGGCACTGAGGCACAGAGCTTCCTCCAACGGCATTTCCCCGGGGTCACCTGCATTGCCACACCCCGCATGGTGCTTTTACACCTAAAGACAAACTCCCCAAAGCCCTGTTTCTCAGTGTAGTCTCAGGAAGATCTGCAGCACTCGCTCACCCCGGCCCTGGCATGGCAGACTCTCCCAAGTGACACCTGTGCCCACTGAAGTCTGAGAACCGTGGTAATCCGGGTCCCTCTCACTGCTTCACTGGCTGTCAGAACCCTGAAGACGCTCCACAGAAGTAAATGTTCTCTGGGTGGAACAGATGACACTGCCCAGTACATGCCATCTGCACGGGCTGTGCGAGCGATATTTAGGCTGATCTCAGTGCCTCCAGGAACATTTAAGGGTAGGCAGGTGTGCAGCCAGTCCCCTCCACCCCCACGGGCCTCCCTTTTCAATTCTTGGTTGCGTTCTTTGCAGCCTTCAACACAGTTTGTAATTAGTTTTCCTAATTGGTTTTTAATCCATCTCCTCGATTAGACAATGAGCCCCATAAGGAGAGAGATTATCTCAACATGGTATCACTGTGCCTGGCACACATAGCATTTTGTAACTTATGCTGATGAATGAATGAATGGATGGATGAATGAATGAATGGATGGATGGATGAATGAATGAATGAATGAATGGTGGATGGGTCCCCTGGAGGCTCTAGACATGGGGTTAGTAGAGGCCAGCCAGCTTAGAGGGCAGGGTAGGAAGAGAAGGCAGAGGCGTTCTGACTTAGAGTGAAAAAGGGCCTGCCCCACCAGGGTGGCTGGCTGTCGGGGTGCGTGGCTGCGACTGGAGTCTGGCTGGTCCAGATGTATGCAGCTGTGGGAGACGTTGTTGGATCCAGAGCTGATGGAGGCCAGGGCTTTGGCCTGCAGTGGGTTCTACGCCCACCCCCCCACCTTTGTCATGAGGACATCTTTAACATATGTGAGGCAGCTCTGCTCCCCGGACCCTGGGGCTGTGGTCCCCAACTTTAAGGCACGTTGTAAGCCTCACCAAGGAGCTTGTTAGGAATGCAGGCTGCCAGGCCCCACTCCTGAAGACTCCGATTCCGTAGGTCTGAGGGGGAACCGATAGTCTGCATCTTACAAGCAGCGCTGGGGACCACAGGTTGAGATGCTCTGTGTCAGGGGAAGCCCACATCTGACCCCCAGGTTAAAGATCACCCTCCCTAAGGCAGCAAGCAGGCGACGTTGTCTGCCAATCTGGGTGACACTTTCTGCACCCTGTCCATTACGGGAGGGTGAGGGCTCTGGTCTGGATATAGACGGAATACCAGAGGCCACACCTGCTTCTTGCTCGGAACTTGGCTGAACACCTGAGGAGCTTTCACCCCTCACCTGCCCCCCCTCGCCCCACCTTCCATCACTAACACCGAGAGATTCGGGGAGGGAAGCTGACTGGAGGGGGGCTTGGCGTGGCCTAAACCTAGGGGAAGGTGTCCCCCCAGACCCGGCTTTCTCGGTCTCTAGTCATCACATCACATCCTGGTGGTTAAGCAACATCCTGCAGAACATTTTTTGGATTTGAGCGTTGCTGGACTTTTGGCTTTGTCTTGTTTGAGACTTTCGGATGGGCGGAGGGGTTCTGAATCCCAACCTTCATAGTCTGTTCTCTGATCTCAAGAATGCAAAAACTCTTCTCCTTTTTTTTTTGGCTTTTAAAGGAAACAATATGTTTGCGAGAAAAACCACAAACAAAAAAAAATGATTATATACAAAACGGTTATCTGAATGTGGATTCTGTACTGCGGCGAAAGCGGCCGAGCTCCTGGTGTCTATTTGCGCTTCCTCAGTATCAGGTACATGAGGCCGCTGATGAAGGTGAACGCGAAGGCCACCCACGCCAGGATGAAGGAGTAGCCGTACGTGCCTTCCGAGGTCAGGGCATAGAAATTCTGGTTTTGGCTGTGAAGTTCTTGGCGTCGGTCTGTGTAAATGGAAGCTGCAATCACGACGGACAAGCCTGTCGGAAGAAAGCCACGATACCAATAAATCACAGGCCAGTGTGTCCCACGTACCTCAGGGGACTCTGGCCGGAGCTGAAGACCAACTTCAGCTTGTGTTATTATAGGCATTTATTTTAGTCTATTGGAAAGACGGCAGCTAATATTTTGCGGCAGAATATCACTGCCTCTAGCTGACATTTTGCTTCCCGTTCTTGGTAGCTGAACACAATTTTATGTGGGCAGCCGTGTACCCAGTCAAGAAGATACGTCCTAAATGCCTAAACGTCTAAACCAGGGGTCAGCCTGACAGTAAATACTTTAGGCTTTATGGGCCCGTACAGTTCCTGTCACCACCTACTCAACTTTGTCCTTCCCCTTCTTACGGCTTTAGATGCTGTTAGGTCAGGATAGCGTGTCTGGAGCCACAGCAGCCTTTTGGGGACCATGAGGAAGTCATCACTCTGAAGATGACAGCAAAGAGGGATGGAAAGAGTGAGGGTTCTGGGTGAGGCTGCGGAGGTGCCAAACCCACTCTGGCACCCTCTGCCCCCAGGCTATTTGTTATATTCAAGAAGTAAAGGTTTTTATGGCTGAAGTCATTGTTAATTGGATTTTCTTACTTGCAGCCAAAAGCATCCTAATGGAACCACCAACATTCACAGATACTAGTGCGAGGATGAGATTCAGAACCATGATTTGGGGGGATCTGCTGCCTCTCCTGGCCAGGTGAGAGTGACCATCAGGGTACCCAGCCCTTCTCTGCCGATCAGACTGTTGCTCCTGGAAACCTGAACCTACAGCTAAGTCACAGTCTTCTGATCCTGCCAGCACCTCCCTGCAGGGACCGCCCACCAGTTTCTGTGGCCTGAGTCCTCTTTCCAAGACCCGGTTTTCAGCTTTTCCTTGGACTCTTGTGAGCTACCCCGGCATCCGGTCTCTTACGTAAGTTAGAGCTTCTGTCGCTCGCCCCTGTACCTGCCCGACTGATACGGCGTCTAAACACTGCAGGCTTGGGGCAGAAAGGGCCGGGGCGGGTCCTTGGGCCAGAAAACGGCCAAAGGAGTTGTTGCGGACGGAAGGGGCCCTGTACTGTCCTATCAAAATCTGGGGCATTTCCCTCAATGTATATCAAGGTAATCGGTTTTCACTAAATGGCCTTGTGGATAGACAAACGGAGGCAATGACAGAAAGTAAACTTCAGTGGGTCTCCTCTCTACATGTTCAGTGGTGAGATTCAATTGCTTTTCATGGGGTGAGGAGTGGGATGTCCGCGCCTCTTACTGGGATGAAGAGAAAGTAAAGGGCAGAGCAGACGCCCCCTCACTGATGCCCTTGGGCAAGTCTCTCGGCCTCACCGGGTCTGGGTCGCTGCTCCCAAGTGCTGGGCTCCCGGACGGGAACACAAATCCCAGCTTCTAGCCTGACAGATTCTGATTCAAGAGGTTAAGGTGGGGCCTCGCGGTCCACGCTTTAGAAAGGTCCCCGAGGGATCCTTGTGGAATTGGCAACTCGGGGACCCAGGGACCTTCCAGGTTCTTTCGCACTTGAAATGCTCTCATCGTCTGCCTGCGTCCTGGAGGGGTGGTCCCTGGCTGATGCGGTAAAGTGCCCTGATAGGATGCTGTACGTGACCCACCATCCCACTCTGCCCAGGACAGAGGGGTTTCCTGGGATGCAGGACTCTCAGTTTTAAAACTGAGACAGTCCCAGGCAAACCGGGACAGGTTGGTCACCGTAGTGTGTGCTGAGGGCATGGCAGGTCTGGACTTGACCCTGGGGTGAGAGGGATGAAATCTGGGAGGTAGATGGAAGGAAGGGATAGTGGTCAGAACCAAGCACTGGGTTGGCTGTGAAGCTCAGATTTCCCACCCACATCAAGCTGCCCATTAAATCCCAGAAAGCACAACAGAAGGGGCTTCCGGTCTTCATCACTTGGAAGCTTTAACTCTCTAGTGAGAAACAACAGATGATCGTGCTGGGGCATACGTCTTCATCTAACTTCAGCGTTGCTAAAATTCCCAAGTAGAAAAAAGTGCTCCGAGACACGTTTTTTTCTCTAAGTTCCTCCAGGATTGAGGCTGTGTCTTGTTCATCTCTGTATTGCCAGCAGCCCCCCACGGCCTGGGCCAAGGGAGGCACTTCTGACACCAACCAGCCAAAAAAATTACCTGTTGATGGCTTCCCACCAGCTTGGGACAAAAACCCCCAATCCCACAAGGCTGACAGCACCCCGTGGAGTCCGGCCCAGCTGCCTCTCTGGTGCAGCTCCCAGCATGCCTCCATCGCTACACTCCAGCCCCACCGGCCAGCCCTCAGGCTCCCCCATCACAGGGCTCCGTTCATGCTGTTCCCTCTGCTGGGCACACTGTTCCTTCCCCTCTCTACCATGAGAGCACTTTCTAGACAGCAACTCCTGCTCGCCCTACAGAGCCCAGCTCCGGAAGGGCGTCTTCCCCTAACGAAATCCAGACGCCAACAATGTAAAACGTCCCACTGTGGTACCTCGGCACAGCAGCCAACTTCTCCCTTCCAGGTCCGCACCTGCCACCCTCCTCCTGGCTTCCACCCATCGGTGGTGGGGAAGGGAAACCCATCGTTTTACTTACATGACAGGAGCTGAATGATGGAGGTTAAAACAAATCTCTCTCCCTGCTTGAGGCGGAAGAGCTGGAGCAGGAAGATCAGAAAGGCGATGCAGCACAGGATGGTGGACAGGATCATGGTGGCCTGGACAGCCTGCATCGTGGAGTAGTCTGTGGGAAAGTATAGGAACGCAGCCTGAGCACCGCGGGCCTCTGGGCCCTGGGGTGCAGGGCAGCTCAAGTCGGGGGGACAGGGGACAGAAGTGCAGGGCATCAGGTTGCCGTCTGCACGGTATGGACACAGGGCAGCCCAGGGTTCTCCCCAACACCCCCTTCCCTCTGGTGACCATTCACGCCCTTGACCAGACGAGCCCATGTCATCTGGGAAACAGAGCAAGAACCACCTGCTCTGCCTTCTTCCTGGTCTGGGTCACTGAGACCAAGTGTGTGGCTCTCGCATGGGGGATTTTCTAAAGGGCCAAAACCTCAGGTTCCAATCCGGCAGATTCCGGTTCAAGAGGCCAGGATGGGAAGGGTCAGGACCGGGGGTCTGAGTTTTATAACGACCTCCTCCGCAGGGATTCTCGGGGACTTGGCGCTCATGAAACCAAGTGACCTTCTGGAAGTATATGCATAAGGAACTGAACCTTGTGATCATTACTTAGGAAAAGCAAAGTGAGGTTTTCTCAGATCAGTCTTAGAGGGCAGGGTGAGAAGTTGGGGCTCGGTACAGGGGAGTTCCAGTAGAGAAACAAGCTAGTCTTGGGGGAGGCAGCCGCATGAGGACAGACACAGCTGGAGCCCTGCACCGCAGGTACACAGCAGGGGTCCAGTGCCGGGGCTGGACTCACCTGCGTGGGCCTCAGTTTCCCAACCTGTGAAATGCGGATAGTAATAGCTCCCGCCCCAACAGGGTAGGAGACTGGAGTGAACTCAGGCATGGAAGGATTTTAGGGAGCACCCCCAAAAGGGAGCCCTGTGTAAGGGCTGGATATTATCATCAGGACACAGGAAAGATGGGTGAGGGGACAGTGCCCAAAGCTGCAAAGGAAAACCTTCTCCACTTTTTTTTTTTTTTTTGCAACTTTGCCTGAAAGCGACTGGAGAGAGGCATCATTTTAAGTGCTTAATGAAATGTTTAGAGCAATGGCTCTTAGTTCATTCTGGCGCACATTAGGATCGCCTGGAAAGCATCTAGCCCCTGTCCCCATTGCTTACAGTGAGAAACGCCAGACCCGCACACACACAAATACACACCGCATGGCTGCATCATATGAAGTCCAAGGACAGCCGGAAGGAAACTCTAGTGACAGAAGTCAGAAGGAGTCGCCCTCGGAACGGGGTGGTGGGAACTGAGTGGAAAGGGGCCCGAGGGAACTTTCTGGGGCGATGCAATGTTCTCTATCTCGCCTTGGATGGTGATTACATGGGTATATACATAACTGTCAAAGCTCTTTGAACTGAATGAAACCCTAAGAGGTTTGCATTTTCTTGCTTGTAAATTATAGCTCCACTATAAAAACATCTGAGAGGCCGCATCAAAACGAAATCAATCAGAATCTCTGGTGGTGTTGGGATCAAGCATGGGGGGTGGGGGGGCCGCGTGGGGGGTCAAGTCCGACATGGGCCACGATTGTGACCCCCCCCCCCGGCTTCAGGCTGTGCTTCCCAAATTTGCCCGATCCCAGGAACCACCTGGGGGTTATTAAAACCAGATTCCTGAGCCTCTCTCCCTGAAATTCTGATAACAGTTGTTCTGGAGTGGGCACCAGGAGTCTGTGTTTTTAGCAAGTATCCCAGGTGATGGGACTCATGGCTGCTGTGGACTGAATGTTTGCACACCCCCCGCCCCCCCCACCCATTCATATGTTGACATCTTAACCCCCAACAGGGTCACGGTATTTGGAGGTGAGCAGGTTGTGAGAGGGGGGCCCTCAGGAACGGGGCTGGCGCCCCTAAGACGACAACACAGCAGCTTGCTTCCTGTCTCTGCTCTCTGCCATGGGAGGCCATTATGAGAACCAAGCTGCTTGCAAACCAGGAAGAGCGTGCGCACCAGACCCCGGGTCTGCCCACACCTCGTGAGAAAGAAACGCCTGCCGTCTCAGCCACCCAGCCTATGCGGTTGTTACACCAGCCGCAACGACCAAGATGTGACTTTAGGAGAAAAGACAGACAGGTGTTTAGAACAGGGTTTCTCAAAGTTAGGGGGGTGGGTACAGAATATTTCACCGGTGCCGGACGAGCTTAGTGCAAGGTGGAACCCCACCAGGGCACCGACCAACAAAACCCGCCTAATGGGAGGGATGCTGGCTCTGCTCTCATTTAAATATATCTACAAACCTCAGGGAGTTCTCCACTTGGCGCTTTTATACCACCTGCTAATATCTCAGTTTGGTGGCTGTTTTGTTTTTAATGAGGAAAGAATCAGAAATGGGCTTGGGGCCTTCAAGGCAGGCGCGTCTGGTGAGGGCTTAATAGCATCGTCTGATTTTCAAGGTAGCATTTTGAAAAAGTTTTCCTTCTTCTGAGGCAAGTGACACCAGCTTATCATTTACGGTAGGGATGTAAAGTTCCCTTTAAGATAAACGGATGGCAGGAAAAAGTGAACTATTTTAAAGTCGGCATGTTGTTTCTGTAAAGGCCACACAGTCAATTGGGCTTTGTGGCCATATTGTTCCTTGTTGCATATTCTCCTTTGTCTTGCTTTTTGAATTTTTTGTTTTGTTTTAACTGCTCTTTAAAAATATAAAAGCCATTCTTAGCGCACTGGACTGAATTTGGCTGGTAGTTTGCCAACCCCCATTATTTTAAAGAAAAAAATAACAGGTAAATAATGCCACGTAGGGGATATGAAACGCAAACCATGGAGGGTTGGGAACAGTGCCGCGGAGCGCAGCCAGCTCTCCCAGCTGAACACGGGTGACAGCCGGCGTTCGCAGAGCATAGAGAAGGATGGCTGTTTCCAGGGTCAAGAGTTAACACGGCAGATAAACAGACCTAGAGGGGAGGTGGCAGGGACCACAGTATTTGGTTTAGAGCACAGATGGTCACATCTAGACTGGCATCCTGGGTCCGTCATTCAGTCCTGGCTGGGTGACTTTGGGTTTCTGCTCTGTGCCTCAGTTTCCCCATCTTAAAACAGGGCCCATGGTCCCTGCCAGACAGGGCTATGTGATCACTTAGGTAAAGGACTTAGCCCCGTGTCTTGCAGTAAACCTTCAGTAAGCGATGTCTTCTATTGGTATTTTTGCTGCTCTTCTTATAAACGTTGATACTTTTATTGAGGGAACGGTGAGACTTTAGGAGCCAGTGAGGGGTGGTGAGGAGGGGGGGGTCCCTTGCTCCCTAAATAGGACTGCCAGACTTGGCAAACAAACAAAAGCAAACACAAAAACAGTGCCCGTTAGACAAGCAGTACTTTCTTAGTATAAGTATGTCCTATGTAATATTTGGGACATACTTAAACTCAATGATTTGTGGTTTATCAGAGATACCAAATTTAACAGGGCGCCCAGGATTTTATCAGGCACTGGGACCCAAAGAGCCTCTTCCATCAGCTCTACGACAGAAAACAGAACCATCCTCTCCAGCGTGAAGGAGAGTAACGAGCTGGCATGTTTTTACGTGGGATTTCCTGCATTTGCAAAGCCCTTCTGTAGATACAGAGGCACGTGTGTTGCTATTATCTCCATCTACAGCTGAGGACACTGAGATTTCCAGCGTTCAAGCGACCTGCCCCAAGGTAAGGTCACACAGCTCATAAAGGAGCCAGCTTGGCTCTCGAGTTTCTGCCGCTGAGATGAGGGGAAGTGACACAAATGTCAACTAGGTTTCTGAGCCTACGGAAAGGGGAGGCTTGGCTAGAAGAGGAGGCGGGGAGAAGGTTCTAGATCAGGGCTGAGGCTGAGAAAAGGTGAAGAAGGAAGCTCTGCTTGGCTAAGAATCAGAGAGGAGAAAGGTGGGCCCATGGGAGCCGGGGTCGGTGGCCCCTCCGGCCTCTGGCTTCGCCAGCTGACCGCACTGAGCCCCCAGCCAGGCCACGCCCAGTGTGCTGAGGGCAGGAGCAGGTGAGGAGTAGGGAGCGCGGAGGCCTTCCTGCTGAGCGTCCTCTTTTCACTTGGGGCTTCTCAATTAGCTTCACACTCACCGAGAAAGGCATCACTGATTTCTGTACAATTTGTGCTGTTGATGCAGATTTTCCAGACGTCTGCATAGAAGCCTTCCCCTACCCACCAGGCCTGTAACACAAACAGGAACACAAGGGAAGGTCGACCGTTAATTACGAAAGCATCGTACAAGGTGCCAGGAGAGGACCTATCTCCTAACTGGGTGGGAGGCATGGTGGTCAATGGATAGTCGAGACCAGTGCTTCTCAATCTGCAGTGTGCACGCGCATCGCCTGGAGATCCGGTTAAAATGCAGATTCTGATTCGAGAGGTCTGGGGCAGGGGCCTAAGATTCTGCATTTCGAATGAGCACCCTGGTGGTGCCTGGCTGCTGATGGGAGTAAAATAAGAGATGGTCCCGGCCCTCGTGGGGTGGAGGAGGGGAGACGAGGCTCAGCTGGTGGCAATCAGCAGACAGCGGTCAATCCCACAAGAACCAGAGAGGCGACAGCAGAAGGGAGTGAAAAGGGTGACATCTGGGTGGGGGGCAGCCTGTCATGGATGAAATGATCAGACGAGACTCTCCTGCCTTCAGTCCAAATGCTTTCTTTTCTCCACAGTGCCAGGCATAACTCCTAACTCTGAATGACTATCCTGACTCACTGATGGGCAAGAATGCCCACGTGTGTCTCCTCAGTAAGTGCCACAGTAATACACATATGCAGGATTAACGGGCGCTGCGGCTGGTGGCTTCTCTGCCCCCCGATGTCTGTCTACCTACCCCGCTCACTGTGTCTGAACCTCTTCAGGTTCCCTAAAGGACCCGATGCAAGAAATAGAGAAAGGAGATTCTAAAGAACACCCAATACCATTTATTTCACCAAGCGTGGGCCTTGTGGATAAGGGCAGGGTGCAAATATTTTCGCCCACTGCATCCGTGTGATCCCTGTCCGGGCCACTCGTGGCAGCTTTTTGAGATTCGGCAGGAACCCAAACCTGATTATTGCACTCATCTGCCCCTTATAGGATCTATGGCCAGGAGAGCTCTGCCACTTGCTGCGATGGAAATTCCAGCAGGCGCCCTAACCGCCCTGAGGCCCAGCTCTCTCATCATAAAACAGGGCCATGGAGAGGACCTATCTCGCAGACTTGAGGTGGGGCTCAACTAAGATGATGCACATAAGCGGGCCGAGCACAGGACCTGGCCAGAGTGTCTAAGTGATAGGTGGTGTGATGGTCTATGTCATTATGATCGATCAACAGGAGTCTATGGAGCTGGTGGCCACTCAGGAGGCGTACTTTTTGAGGCTTTCTGAGCAGTGTTTCTAACTCTAAATGTCTCTGCGGTCTGAAATGATCAGGACTGAAGCCAGGCCTTTGGATCGGGGTGTGGGCCATAGAGGACCTCTGGTAAAAAGCTTCATTTCCTGTTGGGAGGGATATTAATCTATGTCAGTGGGTTATGTACTAGCCATGTGGCTAAGAGCTGGATAACAAGGGAAAGAGTTCAATGTTTCCCAGGAGCACGGGCAGAGTCAGGAAAGTTCCAAGCATGGGCTCTGCTGGGGACGGCATGGCCAGGTGGGCTAACAACAAGGGAATCTGTCAGTAAGAAGGCAGGAGGGGCAGGGGTCATCTGGGATGGGTCACCCAGGGGACCAAGGGCAGTGGTCCTCAACCGAGGGAGATTTTGACCCCCAAGGACATTTGGCTGAAGACATGTTTGTTTGTCTCACTGGGGTTGGGAGTGCTGCTAGTATCTAGAGGGTAGAAACTAAGGATGCGGCTAAACATTCTACAGTGCAGAGGCCAGTCCCCCCGCAACAAAGCACAATCCAGCCCCAAATGACAACAGCGCCAAGGTTGAGTCATTCAGCTCGGCAGGGCTGGGTTTAAGCTGAGTCCTCAAAGGGCTCCCTACAGCCCCGGTATTACGTCAGGCTCTGTGGGGGAATCAGGGATGAGGGGAAGAGGTCCCTGCCCATCTAGACCTAAATGTGGGGTGTTCTGAACCCCGACACTTAGGCCAGAGCCCTCAGGCCTGGGCAGAGGGAAGGGGCATGCCTTGGGAGGGAGGACAACCCCAAATCATAATCACCTTGGGGGAGTTCTCAACTCTGCCACTGACTCTAGGGTCCAGGGTTTGGGGACCGTCAGAAGGAAAGGGAACTTACATTGTCGAGGGTGGCGATGAAAAGCAAGGCCGCAGAGGTGATATGGAAGACAATGATGAAAGCCAGAAGCACCAACATTTTCACAGGGCACGGTGGGCCAAGGGGTCACGATGAAAGCCCAGAGACAGACAGATGTGCTGAACAGGGTGGGAGAGAGAAATTCGAACTTGTCAATGACAAAGCCAAAGTAAAATAAAAAAACAAGCAACTTTTAATGGGGGTTTTAGAAAACCAAAAACAGCTCTTGCCACCTTTCCTCGGCCTGAGAGGCTTGATCAAAGCCTTGCTTTCTTTTCAAAGCTGCTCTTTGTTGCATCCAGACGCCAAATATTTCTTGTGAAGGATCTGGGATAAGGACCAATTAAAATCTCTAACTCTGAAAAGCCTCACACCTCTTCGGCCTGCCAGGGGCACTGGGGCAGGAAGGAGGGGCTCTGTGTGGGCTAAAATGCTGTTCCAGAACCCCCGTCCACCCGGCAATGCCGCGGGAACCTCACAGCACCAGAGGAAACTCCCTCCCTGAGTTGAGTCTTCATTATCACAGTCCCTGCTGCGTAACAAAGCAAAAGTGATCACGATACAAAAATATTTCCTAATGATCTGACCATTTATAAAATTAATCCCCACTCAAACACCCTTCCTCTTAATATCTATCTTCATCTGAACATCTGACCACAAAATGCAAACACAACGTATGGCAGACAGCTGCCATGTCATTTTCCTCCCTCTGGGCACGGGAAGGCTGCATTTCCCAGCCTTCCTTGCAGTTAGGTGGGCCCTTATGACTACTTCTGGCCAATGAGCTATAAGCAACACGGGTGTGTGTCACTTCCAAGGCACAAGCGTTTCCGGATTGAAGAGCAGGTCTAACTTCTCCATGCTTGCTCTCCCTGACGAAATAGCTGGAATGGTGCAGCCAGAACACATTCAAGCCACACTCTCTGGACAGACACTGTGATTGAGAAATAAGCCTTTGAATGTTGAACCACTGAGATTTCAGAGTAAATATTTTACTATGGCTGGACAGTCTGCATAATATACAACAGGAAGCGACTGCAAGGCGAAATTGGAAATCTTGCGAGAGAACTAGGGTGCTACCAAGTTGATGTGACTGACACCAGAGAATCTCCCAGAAGGCTGTAAATGCATTAACATGCAAAGACTTGTCCGAGCTGGACTAGTTAGCAATAAAAGAGGAAAAAGATAAACACGGATGATGTGGGGGAAAAAAAGCATTCAAAAGAATGACTTAAATATCAAAGGATTAAAAATGACACTGGGAAAAACTGAAGTCTTTGAACATTTTTGCAAATATGACCATCGTCTGGGTGAAACGACACACAAATGTCAAGTGAAGATGTCACATCAATCAATCTAGGTGGAAAAGTGAACACTATCAGTCCCTCAAATCAACACTTGATTCATTCTTCTTTCAATCAAATAATTTGTGACAAGTTACTATTACTGAAGTTTTGTAGAACATAACATTTTTAGTTTCACTTATAAAAATACAGACCCTGTTTTCACAGTTTACAATGGCATTTAGTACCAGTTTTAAGTGGATTCGTTTTATTTTTTTAAGTTTCTTTACACACACACACACACACACACACACACACACACACACACACACACTCTCCACCATGTGAGAGTAAGTTGCCTACACCATACTTCTTTATGTCTAAATATTTTGGTATGTATGTCTGAATAACAAGAATGTTCTCTTACCTAACCACAGTAAGATGATCACGATGAAGAAATTTCACATCATACTATCATTTCACCTACAGTCCACCTTCAAATTTCTCCAATTATCCCAATAATGTCCTGAGCTATTTCTTTTTCTGATCCAGGACAAATCCAAGATGAGTGGCATTTCGTTGTCCTATCTCTTTAGTCTCCATTAGAATGGATCCTCAGCCTTTCCTGGCCTTCTGTGACATTGATATTATGTAAGAGTAGTGGCCTTTTATTTTGTAAAATGTGTCTCAATTTGTTTGGTGCTTCCTGATGACTGGATTCAGGGAATGATTTTTCGGCAGGAATTACATTGGTGATGTGTCTTTCTCACTGTTTCCCACCAGGAGGCACAAGATGTCAGTCTTCCCACTAGTGGTGATGCTAACTTTGGTTAAGTTCCACCAGATTTCTCCATTGTATATTTCCCCTTTGTAATTAAAAAGCAATTTATGTGTGTGTGTGTGTGTGTGTGTGTGTGTGTGTGGTATTTCTTCTTGTAATAAAATGCACATAATATAAAATTTATCATTAGTGACATTAGTACATTCACAATGTTGCATATCCATCACCGTTATCTAGTTCCAGAACATTCCATCTCTACAAAAGGAAACCCTGTACCCGTTAAGTAGTCACTTCCCATTCCTCCCCAACTCACCCGCTGGCAATCACCAGTCTACTTCCTGTCTGTGGATTTGCCTATTCTGGACATTCCATAGAAATGAGATCCTACGATATTGTCCTTTTGTGTCTGACTTCTTTCACTTGGCATAGTGTAGGGAGATACGTTAGACAATGTACAGATCTGATCTCTCATCGAAGCGTCACCCCAAGAGTCTGGGCATCCACTGATATTTCTGAAACAGAATCATTTTTAAAAGCCTTTTTCTGATACCGACTCTCCTGCCTGGAGAGCTGCCCTGCACAAACGCTCCGCCCCTTCTCTGTCAGCTCTGGCTCGACCGTGCTGGTTCTCACTCCGTTTTTACCTGACCAAGAACACTCTTTGAGAGCCAGGACCCAGTTAACAATGAGCCAGGAGCCACGCGGCTGCAGAGCCCAGTCTGGGCGGTCCCAGCTGCGATTCCTGCATCATCACTTGGAAGAACCCAGCGAACCAACTCAGAGATTCTTCCAATTCTTTTAAAAAGGACAAATCCCCCTTTGTTTAAGCCTGCGTCATTCTTAGCTGCCATCATACGCTGCCTCCAAAGATGCATTTCTCACACACACACACACACACACACACACACACACACACACACACACAAAGGCTCATGCACCACAGTGAATGCCATGCTGCTTTAATATCCGCTGGAATGCCAAAATGCCAACCTCATCAGGCAGGGCCATAAATTCCAGGGTGGTAACAGCTTCATGTATGGTCCATCTCAGATGACACAAATGCCTATGGACACATAATTAAGACTTTCTAGAAAAGGGGAAAAAAGGCTTTAACCCCATCTTCCCCCAAGTACGTAATTCAAATATTACAGGTCATGATTTGGGATGGTCCACTGATATGGCATTCGGTAACTTGAACCACGCAGCGAGAAAGCCCCCATTCTTTTTTTTTTAAAGAAATTTTACTGGGGAACAGTGTGTTTTTCCAGGACCCATCACCTCCAAGTCAAGTAGTTGTTTCAATCTAGTTGTGGAGGGCGCAGCTCAGTGGCCCATGTGGGGATCGAACCGGCAATCTTGGTGTTATGAGCACTGCACTCTACCCACCTGAGCTAAACGATCACCCCAAGAAAGCCCCCATTCTAATCCTCTGAGTCCAGAAGGAAAAAGGCCTAGTTTGGTGCTTGTCTGTCTCTAACAGGTGCCAAATTTTTTTTTTTTTAAACAACAACAAAAAGCAGAACTTTGGGCAGGCCCTAACGTGTAGCTAGAATTTAGCAATGTTGTTTTGATATTATAATGTTTATTTTAAGGTTCTTTTTATAGGAAGTAATACCACTTATAGCAGTGACATAAAGTTTCCTTAAAACAAATGTATTGACGTTCAAAGAAAAATATTATATAAATAAAAGGAGAGGTGGTTTTCAGTGTCAGCAAAAATCCTGAGGCTGGTTCTCAAAAGCCTAACTTCTGGGAGGCACTGCTTTAATATCTGGGAGTGATTTCAGTTGGAATTCCAGACATTAGGAATAAGCTCGTGCAGAGAAAAGAGCATGTTTCTACAAGAGGTGCAGAAAGGCTTGGGGGCATACACGGGCGGCTAGAGATTGGATTAAACAGTTGGGCATCCAGGAAAATGAGGGAATAGAGAAGTAAATGTCACCATGCTGACATCTGGAATTCAGATCGAGTGACCTCATCAGCAGCTTTGGAGGAAATTATTCCCAAGTAGAGGCGATCTCATAAATCTCTAAGAGGGACTAGAAATGACCCTGTACGCCTGCACGTCTATATCAAAACAGGTCTTCCTGACGCCAGTCTCCCTACAGGCGACCACTGTTCCGGGTTTCCTATGTCTCCGTCCAGAGCTATCTGTTAGGTGGGAACACTTGCTACCCCCTCCTGTTCCCCTGTGGAGGGAGTTGCACCAGTGTAACAAGTCTGGCCTCACGCCCCGCCTCTCACTCACTCCTTCACTCCTGATTGGAGGAGCATCCAGTGCCACTTCCTGGATGGGTGGAGCTCAGCCTTCAAAGGGCTACCAGGCAGGGCTTTGCCCTTCCCCCACACCCCCTCTGTAGGCTAGAAAATGGGTGTGTCTGCTCTTCCAGAGCCCCAATTTCCCTTGGCTGGAGGGGTCCAAGGGCTAGCGGGGGATAGGGCTGTGGCCCTGAGAGCTGCAGCAACTCATTTGGCCACAAGTCTGAGCTAAGTCAGCCCAGCCTTTGCACCATAATTTCCTCCGGAGATCATTCCTTTCCAGTGCATATGAATGGCCGCCTGGTTGTGTGGCTATGCCACAGTCTACTCAACTGGTGCCCATGTGCGTCTTTTCCAGACTTTTCGCGACTCTAAACTGCACTGCCAGTGGGCATCCTTGCAATTATTCGTTTGCACGGACAGATTCCTAGAAGTATGAAGGTGCTGGTTTAAAGAAAGGGACATTTCATTTAAATCTGATTTACTGCAAAGCATCTTGGGCACTGTTAATGCCATGTCAGCCTTGATCTTCAGAGGGTCTTCAGGGTGGTGGAAGGTATTGGACCAAATCTTATGCATGGCCTGGGTGGGTGGACAAGCCCTGATGTCATCCTTTGACTTATTAACATCCCTTAGACTCCCCAGAAATATAATTCTGGCCTCTACAGACCAGCCTCTGCCATCCCACAACACACAGCCATGTTATACTGTTCAGGGGTTTGGTGGGCCCTCTCTGGAGATACTGAACAAAAGACAACTCTCCAGGCTGGGCGTTGGAGGAAGCCTGGCCCACCAA